TGATACAGAATGATGATCAGGGCGTTGGATCAGGAGCGGACATGCACATGCTATTGCTCTGAGCTTAGCGCTCCAATTGGATATGAACGTGCTCACGGTAGCGCATGGAGCGCAGCCAATGAACATGCACTAACACACACGGAGGATTAATCAGGCATGTGCAAGTGCGTGGGACGCGCGTGCGGCGCGTGCTAAACCCTTGTTGGCCTGTTTCGACACTTGAACTTGAAACGGTTATAAATTAATCATCTTAAATTCAAATGCCGTCGTTCTTGAGCTCAAACTCAAGGATTTTTCGTCATCTATCCAATGATACCAATTCAATTTTCAGATTCCTATCCTACTAAGAGATATTTACGTTTTAGTGATACAGTGTCAGAAAATTATTTAAACCGAGATGGAGTATTTATGAGAAACCATTTCTGTAGTGCCTAGAACCTTGTGATATGTGGTTATGATAATTGATGGGAATGATTAATATTAATTATTAAGTTTTAAATTAATCTATTATATTATTAAATTATGTAATTTAATATATAAGCCTAATTGCTAAATGGAATGATGTTTGTTGGTATTTATGACTTATAAACTAGGTCTATGATTGTATTTGCATAATGTATGATGGCTATATATGGTAATGATGAATTGATATATATTTTTTTTTCCCGAATGGTTAATCAAATATATTAATAATAAAAGAGTTACATAGGGCCCAAGAGAGGCCCAAAGAGATTACAAGTACAGATGGCCAAACCCATATCAGAGTCCATGGAAGGCCGAACCCAAATCTTTTGAAAAGATGTTACCTAGAAGGCCAATCCCATATCAGGGTCCAACAGTGAGGAAATGGAGCCTCAAACAAGGATTTGGAGGATTGCCGTTACTAACGGCTTTGACCGTTAGAAATAGATGTCCCGACAATTCCGGTAACAAGGCTGTTTCCAGCCCCCTTGAGGCTTCGCCTCTGCTTACTAGCCTGCACGAGGGGGTGGCGGACAAATCGCGGCTGGAGAATAGGACCATTCCAAAGCAAGGGCTAATCGACACATATCTGGGACTAGAATGATTCCAGTGATAAGCAGCCCAGAAGGCAAATTGTAGCCAATTTTCACTTCTTGTGTAAAATCGACACTTGTGTTGAATGAACTTCCAAATGGGGGAGACAAATTCACAATCAAAGAAAAGGTGAGAGTGTGTTTCTGGTAGGGTTGAGCTTAGGTGGCATACATTAGCAGAATTATGGTAAGACATACATTTGGAGTCCAGTGTGGAGAGCTTGGATTGAACTGCAATCCACAGTATCATTTTGTGTTTGGGAATGGCAATGGACTTCCAAACAAGGTTTGACCAAGGTACTGGGGTATGGGCTTGGGAAATGGCTGCTATAGTGCGCTTAAGGCTATAATATGTTAGTAAAGTTTTATGCATGCATACACAAATTAAGCATGTGCTATCTAATTTCTCTATCCTCGAAGAAGAGGGAAGGAGTTAGCAAAAAGTGTCCATAAATACTCATCTCACACCACTGGAAAAATAAATAAATAAAAACAATGGTATCAAAGTTTTCATTGATGCACAACAAAAACAGTGAACAGAGAGAAGTCGCCTGACTCATTTTTGCACCAAACAACCCAAACAAATGTCACAATCAGCAATCAAACACCTTAAAACCCAGCCCCCCATCAGAGGCCAAATGAAAAGAAAGAACTACAATGGCAATACATGAACACAACAACTCTCCTACAATAATTTCAGTGCTATAGCAAGCCTCATGACACCATCAAAAGCTCATAATCTAGTGCTAGTTGAAACCCACGACGCAATGAAGAGAAGCAAAACTACAAAATGATGGGGGAATTTGAATCTGTTTCCGTCTGATGTTGCTCCATCGGTTGAAGGTGTTGTTTTAGACCCTGCTCCTGCATTCACTTATGCATTAGTATCATTCTCTCTCTCTCTCTCTCTCTCTCTCTCTCTCTCTCTAGTCATATACATACACACAGGACGGAGCCAGAAATTAAATTCAGGGGCATAATATAAAAAGAAAAAAATAATAATAATCAAGACAATAAATAAAGATTCTATAAATCAAGGAAAAATTACTCAAAATAATATCTCAAATTGTCAATCAATGAGTAATTTAAGAAAGATAAATAGTTAACAAAAAATTTTAAAAGAAAAGAAAATGAGAGAATTTTGAAAGGGAAAAAAATTGGAGTTTGATTCAAAGAAAAATTTGGCTTTTTTTTAAAGGAAATTAAATGAATTTAAAGGGCAAAAAAAAAAAAAGAAAAAAAAAAAAAAAAAAAAGAAGAAGAAATACAAAATTTAAGAGATAATTTTAGAAAATAAAAATTGTAGGGGGCATTATATGAAAATTTTCATATATACATATAAATATATATAAATTTAGTATATGTATTATAGTAAGCGGAGCTAGGGCCGAGGCACGTGCCCCCGGACATACACCATCTTCGTCCCTGCATACACATCAACTTAATTATGATACATTATGTGACCATTGGGATTGCCAAGCTAGAACAATCTACACCACCAAATTTCTGATTTTGACTTTATTTTTCTTTCCTTCTCAAATTTTGTCGAAGAAAATTGAGAATTTTGCATAGGGAACTAATAAGCATATCAAAGAGTCGATTTGAAGTTCATATGAAATGTCAAGAATTTCAGTTTGTTACATTATTTTCATCTCAGTTTATGAAACAAACAAATATTAACATCCCTGTATATATAGAAATTTGCATACCTGATGGAACATTTGACTCTGATGGAGTGGTTTGAGGCGTTTCATTAGCAGAATCGGCTGGAGAGCCCATTGGAGAAGCCACTGGGGCAGCTGCTGCAGCTGTGGGTCCACTTGCAGCTGTATTTAACATTTCAAATTCATGTCAATTGGGATAATTGAATATCTTCTTTTATGTAATTGGACAATGTTGTTCAGACTTAATAGTCTAATCCAAAGTTCAAATAGCAAAACCACGAGAATTTCCAGCAGTTAGAATTTCCGGCTATTAGAGTATTAGGTCTGAATATATAGCATTGTCCATCGTAACATTATAAGCGAAATATACATTTTAGTATTGAACTTAAGCTTACCATTGCATTGGCTAAGTGGTGGAGTCTGCACGCTACAAGCACCAGGGAGTGACAAAGCAAGAGTTTGATTTATACTAATTCCCAGTGAACCACCACCACCATTGAGCACTGAGCAAAGGCACTGTGGCTGCGACTTGACAACGCCAGCAAGCTGCGAGCAGCATGAAGATGATGGCGTCGATGAATTTCCTGTGACGTAGTTCAGGCAGGAGGACATGCCCATGAGCGCACTAGTGCAGCCGGATTGAGCAGCAGCCTCATTCCATAGCATGACAACAAGGACTAGTACTAGACCACTCTCCATCCCTTTAGAAGCCATTAAATTTTGTATGAGATTTCAAGCCACCCAAAATTGTCACAAAGTCTAGTGAGTTTGGGACTTCGTGGGAGAGGGAAAATATGTTGTTTTGGGTTGGAAATTTGATGTTTGGATGAGGAGGGAAGAGAAGGATGTGGGTTTAAATATGAAGGTTAGTACAGAAGAGACACAAACAGATTGGTGTATTTGGGTGGCCAACTTTCAAACGAATCAGTTCTTGAGTAAGTGCGCGCAGAGAAGGGTTGTTTAATGATTTAATGTGTGTGTGACACATTGCTTGATATATATAGATTATTAAAGGTTTGGTAATCTAAATAAAACCCATTAAAATATAAGTTAAATGGGACCAGTGATAGAATCAGTTGTAAAGTACTTGTCATTAATTGCATTGGTTTATAAAGGACAAATCACAGATTTTTTACTAACATGCCAAGCATTCCTAACTTCGAACTCCCATCTTTTAGGTCAAATCAATAATAAGATTACGTATATTTAAAAGTTAGTTAAGGTAGTTGAGCTCCCAAAAATACTAACTTCAAATCCACCAGTTTTTCCTCCAAAAAAATCTCAAATGACAAGTCATTAGCCATCATCATTCATCTCCCTACCCGGGGTGTTGGAATTAAAAATAAAAATAAAATACAAATCAACTTAATATTTGATATTATTTTATACTGACTATTTTTAAACTTGGTGCTTCATATTAGATAGTATATATGTTTTAAGTGAAAAATATGAGTTCTACTTGAAACATATCTGAAGGTAGATAAGCTTTTTATTAGTGTTTTAGGTCTAACTCATTAGCCTAAATATAATTTTTCATCTATAAATCATCCTCGACAAATCCAACTCAGTCTTGAACTCATTAGCCAATAAACTTAAATTTCCTCAAACCCCCTTAAGAACAAGAAAATAAAATTATTTAACAAAATATAACATATGTCTAACAAATAACCCAAATCATTTAATTATTATGATTTTTTGTTATAGGTAAGGCACAGTCACCCACATGGTCCTATTATAGATTCCTTCCATTTTACTTTGATTCTCTTAAGCTTCTTCTTAATGTACTTCATTTCTCTTAAATTGTATCCCTAATTCTGAAATTAGGACATGGAGAGCCAATTTATAGTAACATTGAGGTCTCCTGGGAGAACATAAAATGTAAATTGTAAGACCGTTTAGACATCTTTAAGTGTCGAATGCCCAAAAGATCCACGTTATAAAAATAAATAAATAAATAAATAATTGTGTCAAGTATATAAGAATGTGGAGATGTGAAAAACATCTGGGAAAAAATAAATTCTCATTTCAAATCTTTGAAATCTAATGGACGAAAAAAAAAAACAAAAAGGACCATATCTCACTTGGTTTTGTGGTTTCGGAATGTGGACTAATCTTGTTCATACACTAGCCCATATTTCAAGCTAAACCATTTCATTAAAAAAATCTTTACAAATTAGACCATTAGTTGTCCCATTCTTTTAGGTTCATCACCCACAACATGGCTATCATACCCTATAAATTCCCTTGTCCATGTTCTCCTCCTCCTCCATCAAATTAATTGTGTCCCAAAGAAACCCTAAAAGAGAAAGAGAAAAGAAAAAAAAAAGTTGAGACGAATATACAGAAAACCAAAAATGGCGAAGAAGCTTGTTACAATGTTGGTGATGTGCATTGTTGTTGTTGCAGCATTTCACGTACCGGAGGCCGAAGGGTGGGGCGAGATGCTTAAGGATTTTAAGGAATGTTACGGCCCTTGCAAGCAGGAATGCCTTGACGGTGGCAACGGCTTCACCTTCTGTGAAATGAAGTGCGACACCGAGTGTGGAGCAAAAGAATTTACTGGTAAGTTAATTTTAGTGTGTGCATATAATATATATATATATATATATATATATATATATATACTTGAAAATGCTTTACGAAACCAAAAACTAAGCTCATAAATAAATTCAGATTGTGTTCGGCTGCAAAGAATTGGAACCTAGGAATTAAAAAAAAAATTTAATTCTATCAGCAAACATAACCTGAAAGAAAAGTTATTAATAAATATTAATGTCACGGATAATTCTTTGGTGTTATTTAGTTGGCTATCTTAGTCTTTCAATTTCAGCATCATCACTCTAGTGTATGATTATGATTCTATGAGTAACCAAATTTGTAGTTCATTGCTATCATTCACACAATTGATGAATTTGTGCCTTGGAGGATATGATTTCTATTAGCACTTTGTGCAAAAATGTTAAAGTGTTAAATATTAGATTTATTTCATGTCTTTTATTGGCAACACTTTATTTTGTACCATTTTTTTATAGATAATGATTTGGAATTTAAAAGTGGGACAACTTTGATTAATTTATATAAGTGTAAGATGACGTTATTATGATGTTATTAATACTTCTGACGGTATTATTATAACATCAACTTCTAACTATATAAATTCAGTCGAATTTGTCCTGACCTTAAAGACTTTTTATCATTATTCTTCCTTTTGGTGACATTACCCTTCATTGTGTCCACTAACCTTTGGAAGTAGGGTTACCTTGAGAAACTTGTGCCAACTTCAACTGGGCCTTAGATGTTTAAATTTAGTGGCCCAGTTGAATCAACTGGGCCTTCTGTTTTTTTTTTTTTTTCGGCCTACCCTGTATTTTGTTACATTAAATCCCATTTAACACAATTTTACTTATAAAGAAAATAAATATCCATCAAATTTGGACCTTTTTGTTTATTTATCATATTAGATTTGCATATGATTAAATTGTATTTAATCAAATCCCAAATAGTTATGATTTAGTTAATGTATTAGGGAATTGACATAAATCACATGTTCAGAAATTATTAAATAGCTCTTTTTTTTCACCTTTAATCTAATAAATATGTATATATATATAATCCTTATTTTTTTTTTTTTTATGTGGTGTAGATAAAATAAATCAAATGAGGAATTAGACAGAAGATCTAGGAGGACGCAGTTGCTCCCATCACTTGGTGAGAGGGAGAGTACAAGACTAGGCTACAATAAAGTTATTGTGAAGAATATCATATAATTCTTCCAGTGCCAAGTTGTTTTTATTTTTTATTTTTTATTGTTTTCAAGAGCCATGATTAATGATAGAGCTCAAGCGGCTTAATTGAGTGAGCCCTCAAATACAATGTTGTATGAATTGTATCATTTTATTAGATCAATGAAAGCTGCAAAAGCAGTACATATTTGAAATACAATTTTTTTTTTTTTTTAAGTTAAAAGTAATTCACTATTTATTTACTAAGAGTCGAATTTTTTATCCTCCTTTAATAAGTAGGTGTCTTGATTTGAAATACACTTTAATTAGAGGACGGTCTCTCTTTATTAATTATGTTCTAATGTAGTTCAATGGATATATATTTACACCAAATAGTTAGGCAAAATTGTTAGGTTTACTATTTTTGAGTGGTCAATACATATCAAATATAAGAAAGTGGAATCCTCTATTTCATTTTTTTTTTTCTAATTATATGAACAAATATGTATGTGTGTATATATATACATAATATATATCATTTTAGCTAAAAATTCACATAATTAATTTGCTCATACAATGATACAACATAACTGCTTTAATATATAGAAAGTTCAATGAAATGATACATATTCTTGCGCCTAACATTTGAGAGAGAACAAAATTTAATGACATGATTATTCCTTAAATAAATACGTCATTATTTTTTGCTGCGCGCATTATGTGACAAGATGATACTCTAGCGGAAAGAAATTTTTTCCTAAAATTGGTGGACATTTTTCGATGCTTATCTAATAATATGTGATATATCTATACAATGTAAACACACACACACAAATATATATCTATGAGCAAAAACGAAAAAAAAAAATTAAAATTATTTTTTTTTCCCTGAAAACGAAATAATTATCCCTATCCAGCTAAGAATTGCATGTAAGTACAACTAATACTTGCATGCCTTCGTCACATAGCTCTCTTTATTCTTCACCAAATACCAAGTACCAACATATTTTATCATCCCATATGAAAATCCGTACTGTCACGTGACACTGGCGTCAATAATCGACGACGCGTCGTAGTGCATGTCAATCTCGACACCGAGGCCTCAAGAACCCTCATCCTCTCCAACCCCTACTTCGCAACACTACAAAAAAAAGAAAAAAACACACACACAGTCACGCACTTGACATTTTTGTCCTTATTCATACGCGGCGATCGCCCACGCCATTGAACCGACACGTAAGGTGGACACTCACCTTCAATCCTCATGCATGCCTTCACGTGTCCCCTTCTCATCCCTATCTTCCCATCTTATACATGGCTTACGATCTATATAAACACTACCTATATCTCTCACCTTCTTCATATCCACAACTCTCACTCACTCTAGTCACTTGTTATGAAAATGGCGTTCAAAGTGAAGCTCCCTTTTTTCTTTCTTTTCTCTCTCGTCCTTCTCTTTGCAACTCTTTCTTTTGCCAAAGATGACCCACAGCTGATGCAGTGCAAGCAGCAGTGCAAGGACCTGAAGCAATCTGATGAGAGACAGAAATGCGAGCAGACATGTCGGAGGCAGTGGAGGGAGAGGGAAGAAGGCGGTGGTGGCCGTGGCCGTGGCGATGATGAGTGGAATCCGGAGAGACCGGAGGAGAGGCTGAGGGAATGCGAGAGGAAGTGTGACCGGAGACTGGAGGGGCGGGAGAAATCGCAGTGCCACCAACAATGCGAAGAACAGTACAAGCGTGAGAAAGAAGGAAGAGGGAGGGGAGAGGGTAATTATGAAGGTAGTGAGAGAGAGGAAGAAGAGAGAGAACAAGGAGAGCGAAGAGGACAGAGAGGACACCCTTATCTGTTCGAGGACCAGCATTTCATCACAGGAGCCAGGACCCAACATGGCCGAATTCGACTCCTTCCGAAATTCACAGACAGATCCGAACTCCTTCGCGGCATCGTGAATTATCGACTGGCCATTCTTGAAGCTGATCCTCAGACCTTCATAGTCCCGAACCACTGGGATGCCGAAGCCGTTTTCTTTGTTGCAAGGGGTATGTGTTTATATATATATATATATATTCTCTTTTGGCTGATAGTTTATGATTTGTGGGTAGTTTTTATGTGGATAATTGATTTATTGCAGGAAGAGGAACTATTAGTTTGGTGAGGCAGGACAAGAGGGACAGCTTTAATCTTCGATGTGGTGATGTCTTGAGGATTCCGGCGGGGACTACTATTTACATGATCAACAGAGACAACAACCAGAAACTTGTCTTAATCAAGCTCCTCAAGCCTGTATCTGTTCCCGGAGAATTTGAGGTATTAATATATAAATTGTGTGTGTATATATACAAGAATCTTATATGGCGCTCATGTTAAATTATTTTTTGTGATATATGTAGGTATTTGTCGGGGCAGGAGGCGAAAACCCGGAGTCCTTTTACAGGGCATTCAGCAATGAGATACTAGAGACCGCTTTGAATGTAAGTCAAATATGTAGTCTATATAGATGTCTTTATTAGTTTCAATATATATATAGCTAGAATTACTAAATCTGTGTGCGTGTGTGTGAAATATTAGACGAGGAGAGAGAGGTTGCAGAGGCTGTTTGGACAGCAGAAACAGGGAGTGATTGTGAAAGCGAATGAGGAGCAAATCAGGGCGTTGAGCCGCCACGAGGAAGGTGGAATCTGGCCGTTTGGAGGTGAATCAAGAGGCCCAATCAACCTCTTCAACAAGCGTCCAACACAATCCAATCAATATGGACAACTCTATGAAGTTGATGCTAGAGATTGTAGGCATCTTGAAGAACTGGACGTTGCCGTTTCTTTTGCTAACATCACCCAAGTACTCTCTCTCAATTTCTTAAATCCAACTCTTGATCGGTTTTTGTTTCCGACTAATCTTAATTCTATGTATAAAGAGGGAGGGAGTACTAATCTGAGGATTAATTTGGTTGTGTTGTGTGCAGGGGGCCATGACAGCTCCAGTGTACTCCTCAAGGTCAACAAAGATAACTACGGTGGTGGAAGGTGAGGGATACATTGAGATGGCGTGTCCACACCTGTCCTCCTCCTCGGAGAGTCAACGCCGCCGTGAGGGAAGAGAAGGCTCACCACGGGAAAGAGAAGAAAGAGAAGGCTCACCGCGGCAACAAGGCGAGAGGGGCTCCCCAACTACTTACCAGAGGGTCCACGCCCCTCTAAGGCGTGGCTCCGTCTTCATAGTCCCTCCCGGCCACCCGGTGGTTGCTGTTGCTTCCAAAAACCAGAATCTACAGCTCGTTTGCTTTGAGATCAATGCACGTAACAACGAGAAATTCCCTCTTGCAGGTATAATTAAAACTCATATACTCTTGAATAATTAAATTTGAAACACGTGTTGAATAAGTTTTTTTTTTGTACAAATGTGTCTCTATAACAGGAAGGAGGAACATAATAAATCAGATGGAGAGAGAGGCAAAGGAGTTGGCATTCAATGTACCGGCAAGAGAGGTGGAAGCCATCTTCAGGAACCAAAACGAAGAGTTCTTCTTCAGGGGACCTCACCAGCAGCAGGAGCAGGAGGGTCGGGCTGATGCGTGAGAGCGTGCGTGCTGCCGCTGGAGTGGACCCAGCTGGTGTGGTTGCGCCTCTGTGAGCTAAGGGTATAAATAGCAGCCGCTACTACAACTGGGGTTTTGTGGTGGTTTTGACATAATATGTATACATATATGTATATGAGTGGGTTAAGTGTGTACGTACTGTGTGTATGTATGAGTAAGCTGAAGGCGTTAACATAAATAAAATGTTTCCCAGTTTCGATGTCCTTGCCGGTTCTCTGTTTCTCTTTCAAAATTTTCTTTGTGCTCCAAACTATCATCTGGTTTCTGATGATAGATGTCAACTGCACAATATCATACACAAACACTTGAAGCATCAAACCAGTCAACAGTTATTGAACATGCACAAGTCCATGACATAAATTCGCAACTGGAAGCACATGCAATGATTGGGCCCTGATGTTCATCCTCAATTAAAGATGTGTTCCAATGTAATTACAACACCTGTTTAAAGTGTGAAACAATTCTATCTGACATTTCATCGAACAATGGAATTGCTATTTCACATTTGGATTTTAAAGAGGTGGATATAGCTAAAAATGGTGTAATAATAATGATTCAAAATCTGAACCGGTGAAGGTTGCATTCGGAGTCGGTGATCGAGAGCTGCAGGTAGGATGGATGAGTGCAGCAACGGGGATGCAAAACCTGTGAAAAAGAGTGATTTTTGTTAGGGTGATAGAGAAGGAACGGTTTAATGGAATTTTGAAGCAGTAGGAGGAAATGCACAATTTCGTCATCTCCTTCAATGCTAACACAATAGTTATGTTGAAGGTATTGAATTTGTGAAGGGTGAGGTTGTGGGGGCCAAAGCCGCAAAGCTTCACTAGATTCGGAATCAGGCAGACTGTGACGGCCCAATTTTGGGAGGAAATATGGGCTTAAGTTTGGCCTAATAAGGCAGACTCTGAAAGCCCAATGATGTGAGGTAATGGGCTTTAGTTTCTTGGATGCAATTGTAAATGGTAGGACCAACATGATATATGGGCTAAACTCATTGAGGGAGGTGGGGCTAATGGACTTTGGTTACATCATGGCCTATAGGCCGTATCTTTTTGAAGAATAGGGCATTGAACCCATTTGGGCTGGAGCTTGTCGTTACAATTTAGTGATAGAGCACAGAGATTGTAAACAATCAGATGGAAAAAAGAATGATGGATGTATGGTGATACGCTCTCAGAATCAGGGTACGGATGAGGATGCGTAGTGAGGAATGCGACGATGCCTCTGTCCTCATTTACAGCCCTACTTATAAATTACTGTATTATGATATGCATATGTATAATTTATCTACGTTAGTTCGTAAACAAACGAGTGGAGTGAGTTCGTGTTGAGTGAGTTCGTGTTGATAAACCGTCAATCCCAATATTTTGAGTTTGGCCCGGTTTAAACCATTAGGCAATGATTAGGCCGACAGACTCTCAAACCTCAAACACCACCATTTGTCTCAAAATAAATATTTTTTATCAAAAATTTAATTTTTTTAAAAAAATGAGTTTTACTATTTTTTATTTTATTAATAATGAATGAATTATCAAATGTATACATTATTTTTTTTTAGGGTAAAGTACACAAACACCCCCTGAGGTTTGGCATAAGGACAAGTGGATACAAGTTAACCTATTTTTGGACAATCACATCCCCTGGTCAAAAACTTGATCCAAACAGTCCCTTAAATTTTGTAAAAAGTCAAGATTGCCCTTTAATATTTTATTAATTTAAATTATAAAATATCAAAACTTTTAAATGACTCTTTTACCCTTATATATTTATTACACCAATACATACATACATACATATATATATATATATATATATATATGTATATATATATATATCTATATGTATATTGTAAACCTATCAAACCCAGACCCGACCATGACACTACTTCCACACCTTCTAACCACCGGCCGACGAGTGGTTCACCATCTCCTTCGTTCACATGTTGGTTACTCCTTTCACCGACACCTTCATCCTCCAAGAACACCTTCGTTCACATGTCTAAGCCTGGAACTGTCGTGTACTTGAAAAATAGAAGTGGGTCAGGCCCACGCGCAAGTTCTATACTACTACAATCCAAACAGAGGCCCGATACGCATGTACATCCTAAACAATTCAACAATAGCTAATAGTCCGTAAATATATATATATATAGTCACACTAAATGACTCTCACTGGACTACAGGCCGGTCTCAACCTGAATAGAGGTAACATGCTAAAACGCACACGAAGTGGGCATATGTACCTATACCTAAACAGGGTACACCTCCAACCATCGTAGCCAGCTACACATCCCGATGCATATACGCTCCCTAGCCATCGGTCCTGAGGCTCAAGCTCATACCGAGGCACCATAACAGTACATATATAAAATCCATCCAAAATCCCTGGTATTGCCGCTCAACAAGTAGTTGCCATGACAATACAAATCCACGGGACTTAACTTTTAGTTAATCCCATCCTTATTCCAAGTAGGTGGGTAATGGTATTGTTTTAAAAACCAAACCCATCCTTAGTATGCCACCGTCCCATACCGGTGCCTACTTTCCAATCCTCCAGTAGTCAATAATACCAATAAATCAAGTATATATCAACTAAATTCCAACATCCAACATTCAATGTTAGCAGTGATAAAATAAGCATTGATAAACAGGGTCACAATAACAACATATACATGCCCAATTTAAGTTGTTTCCTTTAGTCTGATATAAAGACAATTTATTAAAACTTCCATTTAACACCTTACAAATGACATACAGATATATAGGGTATGTATCACAAAATCCTAACCTCCACAGTTGATACTAACTGTGATAATGTAAGCATCAAAACAATATTCACAGTATGTATGTAGACATGCTCAAATTATAGTGTTCCACAAAACCGATCTAGTGTTAAACTCAAATCCTCCTAATATTTAAGTTCCAACAGTTGCTATTACAGAAGTTAAGATAGCTATCATCTAGACCCATCCTTCCAATAATTTATACTAGCAGTGGTAAGGAAAAACGTGAACCACAAAACCACAATGCATCCACAAACATGCGTAGTCTAGGTTGAACAAGCATACAACACTACTGTAACTACCAGTTTCATAGCAAAACAGATATCATTTTAGTTTGGTTTAATCTTCATTAATCCTGAAATCATTTAAGAGTGCAAAGAGTATGAAGCCTAAGGGAAAGAGTAAGGATAGAATCTTGCCTCAGAAACTTTTGTTCAAAGTTTCAACGTTGTCCTCTTAAAACATCCCGGCGAGTTCCAAAACCCGGTTACTGTTCACGGGTACGAAACACTATTCCCGAACTCAAAATCTGATCTCCACCGTTCAGATTGTGCAATACTGAGTCATGAACCTATCCTCCAAATTTCAGCTCGATCGGACCACGGACGAAGTGGGATCAGATGTTTGATGAAATCTGGGCAGAATGGAAAAAAACCTGTGCTACCCAGTTACTGTTCACGAGTACGAATCATTGTTCCCGAGGTCAAACTCTGATCTCCACCGTTCAGATTGTGCGTCACTAAGTCATGAACCTCTCCTCCAAAATTCAGCTCGATCGGACGACGGACGAAGCAGGATCGGTTGTTTGATAAAATCTGGGCAGAATGGAAAAAAAACCTGTTTGACCCAGTTACTGTTCACGAGTACAAATCACTGTTCCCGAGGTCAAACTATGATCTACACCGTTCAGATTGTGCTTAACTGAGTCATGAACCTCTCCTCAAAAATTCAGCTCAATCGGACCACGGACGAAGTGGGATCGGATGTTTGATGAAATCTGGGCAGAATGGAAAAAACCTGTGCGACCCAGTTATTGTTCACGAGTACGAATCACAGTTCCTGAGGTCAAACTCTGATCTCCACCGTTTAGATTGTGTGTCACTGAGCCGTGAACCTCTCCTCCAAAATTCAGCTCGATCAAACCACGGACGAAGTGGGATCGGAGCTTTGATGAAATCTAGGCAGAATGGAAAAACTGCGTTTTTCCTTCTCCACTTCCACAAAACGTGTGCTTTGTTTAAAAAAAACCCTACACAGACGTCTACCTTACACTTATAGAGTTTTCCTAAACCCTAGGTTCATTTAAGTCCAACTCACAATCCTAACCGGCCCATCCAATTAACGTAGAAACCTACGACGGTTATAATATAAAACCTTAATTTATACTGTAATTAAAACCCTAGTTAGATGTATTTACCTAATTACCCTATTCACCATTAAATACTTAACAAATAATCTAATTGAACAAAATAATAATTAGTAAACCCAATTAAACCAAATAAGACACACATAAAATAAGACACACATAGAATAATTAAACCAATTACACTTAAACCATTAATGCCAATTAAATAATTAAAATACTAACAAGTAATTCCAATCAAATAACTAAACCAATTATACTTAAACCATTAATGCCACTTAAATAATTAAAACACTAACAAGTAATTCCAATCAAATAACTAAAAATAAATATCATTTAAATAAATTAAATCACCACAAAAGAAATAAATTAAATCACCACAAAAGAAAACAATTAAGCACCTAATAAAAAAAATAATGACACATAATCAAATAAAATGCACTTAAATAATAAATTAAATACCATTAAATACCAGGGATATCCTTTTTAAAATTAGGGGTATTACATTCTTCCCCCCTAACAAAAGGAATTCCGTCCTCGGAATTCACTCTTACCTTCTTCTAATATTTCAGGAAACCGTGAGCGAATGACATCCTCTCGTTCCCAAGTGGACTCAGACTTATTGTGATGACTCCACTGAACACGAACCAAAGGAATAACCTTATTACGAAGAATCTGATCTCGTCGGTCGACAATACGACACGGTGGCTCTAAATAAGTTGCATCCGGCTGCAACGCAATCTCCCCAACATCGATATGCTGATACCGATCCTCATCTCGAAGAAATTTCCGCAACATGGAAACATGAAACACGTTGTGGACGCGATCCAAAGTATCCGGAAGTGCCAACCGATAAGCAACAGCTCCAATGCGATCCGTAATCATGAATGGACCAACAAATCGCGGTGACAACTTCCCTTTCTTCCCAAAGCGCATAACACCCTTCATAGGAGACACTTTGAGTAGAACCTGACCCCCACCTGAAACTCCAAAGCCCGAGTACGACGATCAGCATAGCTCTTCTGCCTACTTTGGGCAGTACGCATGCGATCTTGAAT